CCTCCTACATTCATTTAAAAATAGCACCCCCGGCAAAAGGGACGTTTGTACCATGGAATAGTACTAGTATGTATAACTAAACACTATCTTATTAGAAAGAACTATCATGCAAGAACAAAAAAATCACAAGAGACAATCAAAGCTTTAACCGAACACCACATCATCAAATAAAAAGTCATACAACTTTCACATGATTTCCATAACTTTAGTTTGGGGCATTTCATATATTTGTCATTTTTCACAATATCACCGCTGTCTTGAGCAGAGTCCAATCATGACCCGATCGACTAGGTTGCCTCATTTGAGACATATACCTCAATCACCATCTCATTTCCTTTTTCCGGAATTCAATATCAGCACATTACCACCATGTGTGTGGCATGGTGTCCGATCATGGCTAGGCCGCCTTACCTAGGCGTTGTCCCTTTCTCATTAATCATCTCATTTAAATCTTTATTTCACATATATCATGCCAATTCATTGGCACTTAGGGCCCCAATTTTCACATCATGTCCACTTTCAATACCAATATTGCAATTTAGGATAACAAGCACAGGCAAAAGCAATTCAAGTGTAAACATAGATAAGATTTTACATAGTTGGCATGATAATCTCCGTTTAGATCCTGACATTGAGGTGTAGGCATTCCAACACACGGTTTATATTCTTCACACATCTTTAAATTAGCGAGAATAGTATATTAAACATATTAAGGCACCCCTATCACATATATACAGTTGCAAAACCAGCTCATGTGAAATAACAATCAATTCATCAATCCAATTTCAGACTTACCACATTTGTATATACTCCAACGGAGCTCGATTTCTAGTAAAAGGGGGGTTTTAGCCATACATACCTCAATAGAGTTTTCCTTAAATTCTTACAAAATTTCGGGATTCTTAGGAACTTCAATCTATTTTATGAAAATTATAAATTGAACCAAGAAGTAGAGACAAATTAAGATTCTGGCTCGTTTAAGTAAATTATCAAGTACTATGTGTGCATTGTGATTTTAGGACCCTTTTTGTGAGAGATTTTCATCATCTTATACCCCAATTGCTATCGTTTTAGCTCACAACTTTCCCATACCTTGTTCTCTCTTATGCATGCATGAAAATCCATTCTTATACCCATGAACCCACTAGCCAATTACTCATCCTAGTGTAAATTTCGAAACCAGAGATTAGGGTTCAAGTTCTTACCTCTTGGGGTGAAAGCCTAGAAAATTTTGCTTGAAAGTCTTCAAAGATTTGGCAAGGTTTGAGAGTTAGTTTCTTCCTCTAGATTTTCCTCTCTCACTCTATTTGTAGTAAAAATAACATAAAAGAGGTCTAATGGGTATTTTTAATGGGATGGGGTCGGGTTTTAAAAGTTAGAAAATAGAAGCCCCGACACAATCTGCGATCGCATAATGGACATGCGGCCCGCAAAATGGACCGCAAAAATGGTCCCAAAACCTGAACAAACTGTCTGGGTATGCGACAGAAATGTGATCTGCATACATGTTCTGCAGTCGTATAATGCACCGCAGAACTGCTTCTCACAAAAATTCCAAAGGGATTATGCGATGATAATGCGGCCCGCATATTGATTATGCGATCGCATAATTGTCCGCATAGTTGACCTCAAATTAACCATCAAACTGTTTGACTCTACGGCGACTATGCTGTCTGCATAGCTATTATGTGATCACATAATGGACCGCAGAAACACACTTTTCTGGAAAATATTATTCCTTAACTTTTTAATGCACAGATCAATCTAAAGGGTCCGAACCGCGGCGAAGAATTTTACAAATTTCTAACACATATTCCTAATTTTGCACCACGAGCTTTCGAGTTTTTAAGTAGAAATTTCACGGGGCCTTACAAAACGACAAGCTTATTTTATATTAAAACGAGCAGCATCTCACCTGTAATCTTTACTTCCTCCCAATTCGACATAACACCAACAAAAACAAGAGCACAACACTAACAACATGTATACATCATTTTCCAACCTTATCTCCATCGCAAAATACCACAAAATAGCCCACACACTAATCACTTCATACACAAAACGACAACTATAGTAGTGCCAAACAACCTGAAAATTTAACGACGAACGACCAGCCCACCATTCTGCCATTATGTGGTGTTTCTCCACACCCTTTCTCCTCCAAAACTCCATAAAACAACAGCAAAATAGACAAGCCAAAAACAACATGAAACAACCCACAAAATAATCCATTACAAGTTGAATAACTCAAACTCATGGCTTCCGATCACTGTCCCATGAGTTCATACAATTATTGAAGGAATTTCTCTACTTTTACAGCAGAAAAAATGGATGAAAGAGGGCAGTATACTTGAGAAAATTATTTAGGGTTTTGTATTGAATTTTTGGGAGACATTTGCAGGGGCTTATCTCTGATTTTTTGCTCTTGAATGAGTGTAATATCTGAAGGAAATCAGCCCTTAAAAGGGCTCTTTGGCCGACCCAAACTAGCCCTTTTTTGGACATATTTCGTCCTTTCATTTAGCAAGTAGGTGACACACCTACTTGTCACCTGTGTAGTCTGTGCAGTCTCGCAAAAACATTAATATTTTTACTCTGGTATCGTATCGATAAACGATTTAATGCATTAGAAATTACACTCGTAGATCTTCAATTTGATAGGTAAATCATCCTGTAATTCCAAGTATATTGGTAAAAAAGCTCGACTACATTTGACCTAATTTTTAGCATATTTATGAATGTAACTTGTGATGACCTTTGCCAACTTTTGTTCCACGACCAGCTTGACTTCAAAACTTAATACACGACCATTATACAACTAAAAGAACTCATAACATAATCTCTTTATCATGTTAAGCACCCTGGTCTCACCCTATATGTACATGTTATAACATTGTCAACTTTTGACGAAACATATTTTCTTTGATTCGTTTAGCTTCCAAGCCTTCCAACCCTCTTGGTAATTGTTATTCATGATCTTATATATTTGTAACCTCCAAGGTAACATGATTAACTTACTTTATGTAATTTCAAAGATGATCTCATTTCTGAGCTTACATCAACTGACTTACGACTTGCTCTCACGTACGAAAACATGGGATATAACACATTATTCCATAAAATTCCATTTTTAAAACTCAAAATCCTATTTTCCCATCCTCTTTACCTTAAACCCATACTAAGGTGCATATTAGAACAAACATAATTGCAACTCAAAATCATGTAATTTGAAATAGAGCTTACTTCAACCTAGAGAGCTCCTTGAATAACTCCCTTCAAGATAATGAATTTTTGTTAATACAAGTATTCTTATTTAACATTCTATCTCGTATAAAATAATAGATATATTTTCACATTAGCCTATTTGGCCGGACTTCCAAAATCTGCTTATTGGAGAAATGCACTTCAATAGAAGTGCTTTTCAAAAAAGCACTTTTTTAAGAGAAGCAATTTATGTTTGACTAATCAATTTGAAAAGTAGTTTTGCCAATATTTTGTATTTGGTCAAGGCTTCAAAAGTGCTTCAGGAAAAAAATTTCTTTTTTTAGCTTCTAAAGCTTTTGCTACTACTCAAAAATACTTATAATTATTTTTTTCCCTTAAAAACTTGGCCTTACATCTCAAATCTAAAAAATAAGATTTTTTAAAACAAAAAATTAAGCACTTTTGGCTTCTCAGAAGCTTGACCAAACAAGCTATCAAATGTTGCATAAAATTATGAAGGAATTATTTTTTCTTATACAACCAGCCAATAATGCATATGTTATGCGGTGATTATTCTTTCTAATCCCTCTATCCAAATATAACACAAGGGTTGTTCAAAATCGAACTGTAACCGTTAATCTAACCGAACCAATGGGTTATTGGCTTATTGATATCAGATTATCGGGGTAATGATTGGTGAACAGATTAAAATTTTATAATTGACGGCTTAACGGTTTGGGAGCGGATTACTCAATTATTTTATCGGATAAACCGTAATCCGTTAAGAGTTCTTATATTTACATATACATATCTTTAATTATGCCCATTAATTATATGTGGATCTACCTTCTCTGAAGACTTCAAAAGATTTTATATATAAACACACCACCTAGGTGTACATGCTTCATTGTATATAATATTTCAATCCGTTTGACCAGTTTTCAGTCTTCCCTTTTTTTGACATGAAACAGTTAGCTATGCAACCAAAAGAAATACGTGTAATAAATGCATTAGTGCAGTACAAACTACAAAGTATTAACAGATTCTATTATGTAGCAACATATGTTAACAAGCCTGGTAAATTAAAGTGTTGTACATACTAACGAGGGAGTCAGTCACTTTATCAGGTTTGGCCATTTGGTATTCACAAGACTGGAATTGATAAAAAAATTTCTATTTGGTTTAGCCAATAAATCAGCCGATAATCGTTAATCCGCTACCAATCCGACCGTTGTCTTATTGGATATCTAGCGAATTATTATATTTATAATTCGATAACCGTTAAGCCGAATCGTTAAGCATAATTATCGATCCGATCCGCCCGATAAGCACCCCTAAATAACACAAGTATTATTTTATACAAGATTTAATGTTGGGATTATTTTTTCAATTTCTCTGTCGAACGACCCCTTAGAAATATTTCACCTTGTATTGCTTAGAAGCATAGGTAGTAAAATTCAATTGTAAGGTAGTCGATTCCAACTGAATCGGGCGCCTTGTGGAAGAAAGACATTTGCATAACTGATTTCTTCAACTATGAAATCCACTAAACAATCCTTGTAAAACAGATGGAGATCACATCATCCTACCCAAAGCCACCATTGTTTTATACCAATACCTCTTCAAGAAACTCCAAGAAATGGATACCCATCACTACTCACTCCATCTCCAAACCCTCACCCCTTCAATTTCAGTTGCCTTTCCATAGACCCCGCCACAAAATGCACCAACCCATCAAACCTGAACCCAGGAGAACTACAAACCCCACATGCACAATCTCTGATGTTTTAAGGCTAATGGACGGTCTTGGCCTTAACATACCTGTTGACATATACGTTTCCCTTATCAAAGAATGCACTGAATCACGTGACCCTTTAAAAGCTGTTGAACTTTATACCCATATTTGTAAAAGTGATGTTATTCCTAGCTTGCCGTTACTCAACCGTGTGTTGTTGATGCTTGTGTCTTGTGGTTGTTTTCAACATGCGCGTCAACTGTTTGATAAAATGCGCGTCAGAAATTCTAAGTCTTGGGCTGCGATAATTGCAGGTTGTGTTGAAAATAATGAGTGTGAAGAAGCTTTGCGTTTGTTTTTGGCAATGCAGAGTGAGACTGTGAACGTATGTAAATGTGGTGATTTAATTGATGATGGGATTTTGGTCTGTGTCCTTAAGGCTTGTGTGGAAATGATGAATTTAGAACTTGGGAAACAGATTCACGGGTGGTTAATTAAGGTGGGAAGTTGTGAAAGCTTGGCTTTGAGTAGTTTCTTGATCAAGTTCTATGGAGAGTTTGGTTATCTAGAAAGCGCTGACAATGTGTTCGATCATGTTCCACATTGTAATACAGTTGTTTGGACAGCTAGAATTGGCAATTTGTGTAGAGAGGAGCCGTTTGAAGGGGCCACAAGAATTTTCAAGGAGATGGTAAGAGAAGGAGTTAAAAAAATAGTTTTACATTTTCAAGTGTTCTTAAAGTTTGTGGGAAGTTGAGGGATGCTGGATGTTGTGGTCAATAGGTTCATGCTAATTCTATCAAGGTAGGACTTGATATGGATGGTTACGTGCAGTGTAGCTTGATTGACATGTATGGATAATATGGATTGTCGAGGGACACACTGAGGTTTTTTTATGCGAGAGCGGATAAGAGTAATATTGCCTGCTGGAATGCAATGCTGATGGGATGTATACACAATGGTCTCGGTATTGAAGCCATAAAGGTTCTCTATGAGATGAAAAAAGCTGGTTTGCAACCACATGAATCTTTGATTAAAGAAGTGTTGTTGGTTTGCGGGAGTAGTAATATTGAAAAAATGAGTACTTGACCTTAAAAGTATCTCTTAACCATGAAGATATGAAGATGATTTGCATGATCAAGGAATTTTTCCGGAATATAATGCAGCCGGTGAAGTGGCTAATGTCTCTAATTTCCCTGATGAGTTGGTTGCATTTCAAGGATTAACAAGGGTATGTATATAATAATGGTCTGGCGAGCTGCTATACAATCTTGTATATGGAATATCTCTTAGTTTTTATGAATATATGAAGATGATTTGCAAGATCAAGGAATTTGTCATGGAATGTAATGCAGTCAACACCTATGCATTGGCAATTAACTCCAGTTTCTTTTATGAGTTAGTTGCATTTCTAGGATCAATGAGGGTATGTATATAATATTATTCAAAGAAGTTTGTGCAACAATCTTGCATACATGTATGTATATAATAATGTTCTGAAGAGTTGTGGAGCGATCTTGTAGACACGACGAGAAGTTATAGCACTAAACTGTGGAGTACCACATTTGACATGTTGTCGAGCTAGCATATACTATGATGTTTTGTTAAATTCTGGGTCTCTGTAGCTTAGCAATGCAAGAAATGCAACTCTGTTATCAGTATCCAAGCTCGGTATTCAAATTAGTTTTATGATTTTCGACACTGCAAAATATGCTGCTGTTATGATTTATCATGACAACGGATCAATGCACGAAGGTTGTTGCTGATAATTTGGTGCATGGCCAATCTACTTATTTTGGCAGTCATAACTTTGACACAAGTGCATATACATGAGACATTGCCCAGGAAGAACTCCAGCATATCTACTGGACCTATATTATAGAACCCTGATAGTGAGCAAAATCACTTTGTGACAAATCCAAGACTAAGCAGATATCGTTTTTCAGTTTTATAGGCTTTACAATCAGAAGTATCTTTCTTATTAGCTGCCTTTTGCACTTGAGCAGTCAGATGAATTTGTAATGGCGTTAATCAACTGATGATTATTGTGAAATTTTTGTTTGCACAAACCTATAGATATACGAGGCATGAGCATTATTCTCGCTTGTCACGACCCTAAACCCGGACCCGGTCGTGATGGTACCTCTCGTGAATACAAGGCCAGCCGACACTTACCCATTTTAGTTTTTTAAGCAGCTAACAATGAGAATTAAGTCTAAAAGATGATAAATAATCCAAAATTAGCAGTTAACAGTACAAATTTGCGGAAGAACAACCCAACACAGCCCGATACCGAGGTGTCACTAGTCATGAGCATCTATCAATCCTAACACAAGTCTGAAAAGTCTATAAGCTATTACAAAATGTCTGATAAAGAAATAGAAATGAGATAAAGGGGGAGAAACACAGGTCTGCGGACGCCAAGCATCTACCTCGTGGACTCCGAAGTCTGCCAGGAGCTCCCAATTCGCGCTGGCAGGATCAGCAACGCCTGAATCTGTACACGGGGTGCAGAGAGTAAAGTGAGTACTTCAACTTAGTTAATAAAAATCATAAATAAAGACTGAAACCAAGAAATCACGTAAGACATATTACAGGCTATAATGAAGTAGTAAACCAGTAAAAACAGTGAATTAGTAAAGATATGAAAAATCATTTAAGTTCAGCTTAATCTTCATGAAATGCCTTTTCAACAATTTAAACAGGTAAATGACACACAAATAAGAAAGATAAAAACATAAAGGTTCACCCTTGGGGCACAATGTCAACAAATCCGCCCCTCGGGCAATATCTCAGAACAATACCAGCCCCTCGGGTTATATCTCACATCACAATGGATACCCGCGCTCACTGGGGGTGTGCAAACTCCTGGAGGTGCCCCTTACGCCCCAAGCGCAATATCAAGCCATCTCGTGGCATCATCACTAGGCTCTCGGCCTCATATCAACAAGCCATCTCATGGCATACATATCTCAGGCTCTCGGCCTCATACTCATAATCTGGTATTTCCTTACAACATAGGCCCTCGGCCTTACTCAGTCAAAATCCTCACAAGCCACTCGAGCAATATTAAAACATGATTCTCAGCCCAAATATCATTTAAAAGATCATTTAAGTGTTAAAACAGAGTAAACATGGCTGAGTACGAAAACAGTGTAACATGACTGAGTTCAAGTATAAAGTCAAAACAGTGAGGAAATATCAATAAAAATCCCCTAAGGGTTCAAATATTTGGCATGAGGCCCAAATATGGCATTCAGCCCAAATAATGATGATAACGAATAGATTTTGGTGAAATACACGGTAAAATAGTCATTCGGGACGGACTAAGTCACAATCCCCGATAGTGCACGACCCCACGCTCGTCATCAAGCATGTGTGTCACCTCATTATAGTACAACGATGTGCATTCTAAGGTTTCATACCCTCAGAACATCATTTACAATCATTACTCACCTCAATCCGGTCAAATTTCTAGCCTGCGATGCCTTTGCCCCTCGAATCGGCCTCTACTCGCGTCGAATCTATCCAAAATCAAAATTACGACGTCAAAATATGCTAAGGGAACGAAGCCCAAGAGAAAATTATCAATATACAACACAAAACCACAAAATTACCAATACCCGACCCTGGGCCCATGTCTCAGAATTCGATAAAATTCACATCAATGGATTCATTATCTCCCCACGAGTACATATCAAAAGTACCAAAATCCGACCACAAATGGTCCCTCAAATCCTCAAGTCTAGGTCTCCAATACCAAGCCCTACTTTCCCCAATTTTAACCCTTAAATTCCATTAATTATAGCGCTAATCCATGAAATAATACCCTAGGAATGAGTTTTAGGTCCAAAATCCTTACCTCAATGAAGTTCCCTTGAAATCCCTCTTCAAAATCGTCCAAAAAGCTCCCAAACTGACTTAGAAATGGTGAAATAGCTCAAAAATTGCATAGGAGGCAATTTATGCCTTCTGGCCTAGGCATTTTCGCATCTGCGGCCATATACCCGCTTTTGCGGTACTACTTCTGTGGTCAAGACCACTGCATCTGCGGTCCTCACTTAAGTCCCCATTTTCTGCATTTGCGATGAAATATACCGCACCTGCGATTTCGCAAATGCGGTCCCACAACAGCTTCTGCGGTTCCTCTTAACTTCACCAGCTTCCGCTTATGCGACCAGTCTTCCGCATATGCGGCGTCGCACCTGCGGTCTCCAATCCGCAGGTGCGGAAATACCAGAAGCAGCAAAAATTCTACATCTCACCAAAAACTCCAACTATCCGTCAACCATCCGAAATCACCCCGAAGCCCCCCGAACCTCAACCAAAAGCACCAACATATCCCAAAACCTTATTCGAACTTGTACCAATCCTCAAAACACCTCAAATAACATTGAATCAACAAAAACACATCAGATTCCAGCCTAAGTTTCCAAAATCTTCCAAATTCTGCTTTTGGTCAAAAATCCAACCAAACCACGTCAGAATGACTTGAAATTTTGCATACACATCCCAAATGACACCATGGAACTACTGCAACTCTCAGAATTCCATTCGACCCTTATATCAAAATCTCACCTACCAACTGGAAATTGCCAAAATACCAACTTCGCCAATTCAAGCCTAAATCTATTCCAAAACTCATTCCGATAACACTCATAAGTCCCAAATCACCTCCTGAAGCTAACCAAACCATCGAAACTTACATCCGAGACCTCTAACACACAAGTCAACATCCGGTTGACTTTTACAATTTAAGATTCCTCAAAAGAGACTAAGTGTCTCAAACCTTACCAAATCCTTTCCGAACCCGAGCCAACCAACCTGATCACATATAGAACCGATGGACAAAGAAATAAGAAGCAGAAATGGGGGAAACAGAGTGGTAATTCATGAGACGACTGGCCGGGTCGTCACATCCTCCCCAACATAAACAAACGATCATCCTCGAACGAGTCAAGAAACATACCTGAAGCCTCAAACAGGTGAGGATATCTGCTCCGTATCTCCCGCTCGGTCTCCCAGGTAGCCACCTCCACGGGCCGACCTCTACACTACATTTTCACTGAAGCTATATCCTTTGACCTCAAGTTGCGAACCTGACGCTCCAAAATAGCTGCTGGCTCCACATCATAAGTCAAATCACCATCCAACTGAACCGTGCTGAAATCCAGAATATGAGACGGATCCCCAATATACTTTCGGAGCATAGAAACATGGAATACCGGGTGCACACTCAACAAGCTGGGTGGCAAATCATGCTCATAAGACACCTCCCCAATCCTCCGAAACACCTCAAAAGGCCCAATGAACCGCAGACTCAATTTTCCTTTCTTCCCAAACCTCATAACACCCTTCATGGGCGAAACATTCAACAGAACCTTCTCACCAACCATGTAGGACACATCTCGAACCTTCCTGAAAGCATAACTCTTTTTCCTCGACTGCGCTGTACGAAACCTCTCCTGAATCACCTTCACCTTTTCTAAAGCATCCTGCACCAAGTCTGTCTCCAATAGCCTAGCCTCACCCGGCTCAAACCAACCAACTGGAGATCTACACTGCCTCCTATACAAAGCCTCGTATGGAGCCATCTGAATACTCGACTGGTAGCTATTGTTATAAGCAAACTCTGCAAGCGGTAAAAACGGATCCCATGACCCTCCGAGATCAATGACACAAGCACGCAACATGTCCTCCAATATCTGAATGGTGCGCTCGGACTACCCATCCGTCTGAGGGTGAAAATCTGTGCTCAACTCAACCTGAGTACCCAAATGTCGATGCACAGACCTCCAAAACTACAAAGTAAACTGAGTAACCCTATCTGAGATGATGGAAACTGGGACACCATGCAAACGAACAATCTCCCGAATATAGATCTCTGCCAACAGATCCGAAGAATAGGTAGTACACATCGGAATGAAGTGCTCGGACTTAGTCAGCCGATCCACAATCACCCAAATAGCATCGAACTTCTTCAAAGTCCGTAGAAGTCCAACTACAAAGTCCATAGTGATCCTCTCCCACTTCCACTATGGAATATCCATCCGCTGAAGCAAGCCACCCAGTCTCTAATGCTCATATTTCACCTACTGACAATTGAGACACCGTGCTACAAATCCCACAATGTCCTTCTTTATTGTTCTGCACCAGTAATGCTGCCTCAAATCCTGATACATCTTCGCGGCACCCGGATGAATGGAATACCGCGAGCTATGGGCCTCCTCCAAAATCAACTCCCGAAGCCCATCCACGTTGGGCACACAAATCTGGCCCTGCATCCTCATCACCCCATCATCACCAATGGTCACATCTCTGGCATCATCATGCTAAACTCTATCCTTAAGGACAAGAAAATGCAGATCATAATATTGGTGCTCTCTGATGCGATCATATAAGGAAGATCGAGAAACCACACAAGCCAATACCCGACCGGGCTTCGAAATATCTAACCTCACGAACCGATTGGCCAAGGACTGGACATCAACTGCAAGAGGTCTCTCCCCAACTGGAATATACGCCAAACTCCCCATACTCACTACCTTTCGGCTCAAAGCTTCGGCCACCACATTGGCCTTTCCCGAATGGTACAATATAGTGATATCATAATCCTTAAGCAACTCCAACCACCTCCGCTGCCTCAAATTAAGATCCTTCTGCTTGAACAACTGCTGAAGACTACGATGATCAGTAAACACCTCACATGACACACCATACAAGTAATGCCTTCAAATCTTCGACGCGTGAACTATGGAAGCCAACT